CCCTTCCCTCATCCCCTCACCCCCCCTAAATGAGCTGCTCGCAACTCTGTCCTGTGCCCTACCCCAGTTGGGCAGCACCTGTTGATGCTCCTCTGCTTTGGTACCTGGAGCAACTGCCCCCCCACACCCGCCCCCACTACGGCACTGTCGAAACCTTTAGTACTTACTTTCCAGAACTGGTCCCCTTCATGTGATCCGTGTAGATATATATATCTGGAATGAACTTATTTAGGATGCTTCGTGCCGAATCCACGATTCTGTTCACCATCTGTGGTGACACTCTGACTGAAAATCTACATTGTGATGTCAAGGATTTTACTATGATCAAAAGACACCTAAAAACCAGGAGATGTGCAAGGAAAAGAAGTCTCAATGCCTTCTTTAGGATATCTGTTTTTTTGCCAACCATCTCCTCTAATGAACTGCCTCTATTCCTTGCTTTCTACAAGATCATTTAAGAACCATCTGTTGAAAACAGATATAGAGAAACCTGTATAGAAGACTATCCTACTATAATTAAACAAACCCACATCTTAAATGACCCTGTCAAGGGATATTTTAAAGAGATATTGCATCACCTTCTGTTTCTTCATGATGTGTACACCTGAATGTTTTGTTCATTCACCCTTAAAGGATCTCCTTGGTGCTGGGAAAGGAGTGCTCGTTTCTGTATTTAAAAAGTATCAGGCATGTTCTATCCAATCATTCCTGCTAGTTTAAGCACCTCTCTTCAGCCAAACCTCTCCCATCATTAAAGCAGCCAGGATACAAGTTTTCAAACAAAGACATCTCTCCAAAATGATCATTAGTTAGTGAAGTTAAAGTATCAGCAAAAAACTCTAAAAATGTTCCAAAGAGTACAAATTAAGTTTTTGCCATCACATTGTACTCATCACTCACTCTGAACTCTAGCAAAGCTATCAGTTCACTCATTCCCTAGTCACCATGAAATGTCTTTTTTTTTTAAACAGACAATGCCTTTTGTCTCTTTATACACCAAGAAAAGGAAAAAGCCAACTTGCATCTCTCCCTCTTTACTTTACCTTCAAGAGACAGTCCCAAAGCATTCCCTAGTACATGTCTGCTCTGTCTTTATTAAAATGTGCCACTTCTATGTAACTACTAGTTGGAGCTGGGCCAAACATGCTAAGCTAAGCAAGCTAAGCATGCATGGGAAAGGAGCAGAAAGGCTTTGCCTTCAGGCCCTGTCACTTCATTTTTGTCTACTATTTTTTGTCCTACCATGGCCCAACTGACTGACTGTCTCCTGACTGTCCCAGTCCATGCCCACCACCCACTCTTTTGAACTAGATATACTCTTGCTCTAAAGTCTCCTTCTATACAGCTTATTATATTTTAAATGATCCAGATAGTCAAATTAAAGGTAGCAAATAATGATTAGCAAACTGATCCCTGTCCACAGTTTATATGAGGGTACCAAAAACTCTTGGGAATCAAAGGCACTATGTAAGATTGCACTACCACACTGGTTTTCAATCTATGATCCAATGACCCTTGGGGGTCTGCAGACTATGTCTAACAGGTCTGTGAAAGACTGTGATCAACCAAAAATGTGTGAATACACACACTTACAACTCAAAGGGGTCTGCACCTCCATTTGTAATTTTTAGGGGCTTGCAAATGAAAAAAGGCTGAAAATGGCTGCACTACTACAAAAGCACAATGGATACAGGAAGCAATTCTGCACAATTGTACATTGGGACAACACTCACATCCAGAAGAGGGCTCCTAGGTTGGCAGAAAGCAAAATGACCTACTTTAACAGTACTGCTTCCAACCTTGCTTTCCGGACAACCCACTGCCTCAAAGTCTCCTGGGAACAAGATCAGGGCAAAAGAAAAGGGAAGCCACAGTGTAAAGGGGGAAAGTGGTTCACATACAAAGCTCAATTCTGGTGTCTTCAAATGCAGACATGGCATCTAAGTTCACAAAGCAGAAGTGAGAAGGACACAGAGAAGCTTCATGAATGTTGAAGTTCTGGAAAGACTATGATAAAGAGCGTGACACTATCAAACATGTAAATCCTTCCTTGTTGACTGATTCAGTGCACACACTGTAACAAAGACTAGTGATGCTGTACCAATCCCAAGACTGGAGGACAAGATGCTTCATTCTTTTGCATGTCAGAAGGGAGTTCATGAGGAAGGGCCAGAAATAAAAGCTGACTACACTGCAAGTAACTGCATTTGTTCTGGTTTTCTTCCTTGAGACAATTTAAAAATGAGTTCCAAACAATCCAGTTTCTGAGTTACAGTTATATTCTAAGCTACTAACAAGCAACAGCTCATAGGGAGTGTGAATTCCAATTCTTTCATGCCCAAGAGGGAACAGAATACCTGCACTTCTGATCAAGAAAAGTTCTTGCCATCTCTGAGGGAACAGAAGGTTTGAGGAAGACAGGGTGTGAAAAAACAAGAACTAAATGCAAGGATCCACTGTTCTGTGGAGCTGTGGTGTTATAATTTGCATTTTGCTATAGCGTACTCTTTCCCCAGCATTTCATCACTCCATCTCTGACGGTGCTATTGAGGTTTAAAAACTAATCCAGTTTTTTATAAGACAGACAATGCTCAAATGCACATGTGTTCCGTGCAGCTTAATTCTAGGCTCCCATCCAACATGCATTTAGTCTCATCATTATAAAAAGAAAAGCGCCTATCAAGTGAAGCTACAATAAAACTAAGTTTGTTGCTTTTTAAAAAATAAATCAAATACTGAAATTGCCTTTCCAGGAGCACTGTATGATACATGATTAGAAAGCTGTATATTTTTCTTGCTACTTAAGCAAACACTTCTAATCTATTTTAATTTTATAGACTGGTTTACAGACAAAGGGCTTATATGCAGCAATTTAATAAATCACTGTGATCATACCACTGGGTACCAAGCAAGACAATCTCACTGTGTCACTTCGCTGTCCTTCTCTCCCCCTACCCCCACACGTGAGAAAATGTAGTTTGTGGAAGATTAAAAAAAAAATCCCTGGAAAGCAGGGAGGGAAAGAAAAAAAAAAGATACGCTGTTCCTCTGATGCGCTTGATCTTGCCAGGATCTGTGAACTGAATGGGCTGCAAGGCTTTCCTTACTGGACAGGAAAATACCACCTCCCCACCCCCTTTGGGGGGCATTCCTCTTCTGGTGATCTAGAAACAGGAAGGGAAGAGAAAACAGGTAAGTGGAATAAACAGACAAACAAACACAAGGAATACATTTACAAACCAAAGCTGACAGCTCTCCTCCCCGCATTAGGTATTAAGGGGCTGGTGTCCTGTGTGAATGCGGGTAGGTAAAACTGATACCTAGAGAAGAGACATTTAATTTGACCCAGGACTGACTCTACTGGTGTTTGACTTGGATCCAAAACAGGAGCAGCACAGTCATTTACATACATTTTTCTTCCAAACTGCATTGCTACTTCTTTGCCAGAAGGTGGCTAGAGAAAGCATACAGACCAACCAGCTTGTCCCTGGAATGAATGGCAATAACCATACAGGGCAGTGGTTCTCAACATCTTTACACTCAAGCCACCCTCTCAGAAAATGCCAGTGCAGAACAATCTTCCTGTTGCAAAGAACTCAAAGACCAGCACAGGTCAGAATGTTTTGAACACTATGGATTCCAATTAGAAATCTCTGGGTTTATTTTGTAAATCATGTTTGCACACCTAACAATGCTAACATTGCATGGCGCCCCATGGCATCCTTGTAAAGATCTCAATGCAGCAGCACCCTGGTTGAGAATCACTGGCAAAGACGTACAACAGGATGACTCAGGAAAAAGTGTTAGTACATTTTATCCGGCATACTTCAGAGGGACTTAAAGCAAGACAACGGATGTGGACATCCGTACAATCCCGTGACAAAAAGCTTTCTCTTGGGACAAATATGACTTCTATTTAAAGCCTTAAAGTAAAGCAAAAACCAATTCAGGTAAAAGATCATCCTCTTTCTGATCCAAAACAGGCATGACATTGCCTCCCTCTGAAACACTTCCACCGAGCATTAAGCACGAGCAGCAATAACTGCAGAGCTGTGCCTCAAAGCTAGAGAAACAACATGCGTCGGAAAGAGGATAATGAGGATTCTCAGGTGTTTGACATGCAAGGGACTAAATCAAATACTCGACTCACCCCCACAAAACAAACAAAGCAACAAAGATACAGATGTCTCAGGCAGTCAGAAAGAGAAGATGCTTTAAATAATTAACCTGTGTGCACATGAAACAGGTACAAAAAAATTTATGTCAATACTTGGGAACTCAAAGTGGCAGAAAGCAATGTGTGCAGTGAGGTAGAATTTTGGAAGGTTATTTTTAAATGCTTTTAGGTTTAAAAAGACCACAGTTTCCTTTATACATCCCAAACCTTACTTTCAGACCCAGGTTTTTGGGACCTGCAAAATGCATAGCCATTTAATGAGTGTAGTGGAGAGGTCTCTCTAAACTATCTACCACAGTTCTGGGGCTCAGCTGTTCACTGCCAGTAGCAGAGGTAAAGGAGACAGAAAACTGCACTATTACTCTCTGGTCCTCCCATAGGCTGGGGAGTGAAATACAAGGAGACTGAATGGACTGAAGAGAAGAAAAACAGCAATGGCTTTTTCTAAGTGGAAGAAGAACTTGGATATGGAGGAAACCGAGGCCTTGTTTACAGTACAGGGACAACTACCACCATAGCTAGAACAACAATGCTTTAGCATAGGCCACTGAATGTAGACACATATCTCTAGCAGGAGTTTGTGCCACCGGTTATATAAGCACCCCAAAACAGCAAAAGCTTTCCTGGCACAAGTGGCCTTCTTCTGACAGAGGTATGTCTACATCAGAGGGTTTGCTGACAACTACAGCAAAAGCTGTGTTATCCAGCACTTTATCAACCGGAAACCTCCATTAACTGGCATCTGAGGAATGCGGCAAAAGCGAAACTGGAAGTCCCACTTCTGGTTTCACCGCCACGAGCCAAGTCCTTCTCCTTCACTTCTTTGGCCCACGGCCTGGAGCAAAGCAGCCTGAGTGGGGCAAAGCAGCCTGCACGGGGCTCCCCTCCGTCCCCCGGCACACTGACGCCAGGGAGCGCACCAGATGGTGCACATTTGATTAACTGGCATATTTGATTAACTGGCATCCCCCATTCCCAGGGGATGCCAGATAACAGAGCTTTTGCTACTAGATGAGATCTTTTCCCACCCCTTGCTGACATAGCGATGTTGGCAGAACTCAGTCACATAGACTAAGTCTGAGAAGACTGACCCATGTTTTTCCTTTTCTCCCGTACTCAAGAATCTTCGCATCTTTCTCCCACCATGCATGTTGCAAGCCATAGCCAACTTTGCTTGCCTAATAAAAGTACCCTGGACAGGCCTGAAATTTTCAGTCATGAATATAATACAACTTAATGAAGATACAACATCTGCAAACAACAGAAGAGGACAGCAAACATTGGTGAACAAGGGCAATGTGGCAAGTCAATTGTTACTTAAAAAAACAAAATAAAAAAAGAATCCTTACCTTCAACT